GAGTCCGCGGAAATTTCCCCGCCGCTGTTATTGGCGGGATAATTTTACGCCCCTCTAATAAAGGCCAAAAATGTTTTTGGTTAAACAGTGACAACCGGCATACATGCAATTCCTGTCAAAACTTTGGCAAACGCTCGGCTAGCGTGCGCTGGTGGGAAATGTGCGTTGAATTATAATTTTTTTGGGTGAGTTACTATGCTACACAGCAGGAGAAACATCATAACAGGTGCGAGCAAACATTTGGATTTCGCCATAATTACTTGTGGAGTTTTCCGGGCCTTAGGAATTGGATGTGTCAACCCAATTTTAGTGTATACAGTTGAACTTAAGAGTGGACGGAAGAAAAAACTGCTTGCATGTGTGTGCGATTTTGTCTTACCAGTCGGTGTGAACGGCCACGTTGCTCACGGCACAGTAGCCTGGTTCGTGGTCTTCACCGCACAGGTCCACTGTCAACGATGCGGCCTGCAGGACAACACATCGCGAGTCACATGGGAGTGGGGGGGAAGGGGCTCGGGGGGGAATCCTTCCCAGACAAATCCAATAAACCAAAGTGTCCGCTTTGTACACATGCCAACAGTCTTGGAAATTACAAAGAATCCAAAGCGCACAATCGGGCCTTGTGTGCAACAGTTGTTGCAGCGTCAAAAGTACAAACAGCCTGTCAGCAGGTTTCTCACTCGCGATAATTTGGGCCAGGCAACACTTTCGCCGCATTCCACATGCAGCTCAGATGAGCTTGAGTTTGGATCTATGAATATTCAGAAGTCCAGGTTGACTAATGAAGGTGACAAGCTGGAGAGGTTCACTCGCTTTGGAGACTTTTTGACGTTGAAACACAATGTAGGTACACAATCGAATGTTGCATAAAAAAATGAAGGGTGCATTCCTATTTACATTTTTTGGTTTGGTACAGATGCTTCCTGAGTTCCCACATAGCTTCTGTGAATAGCAAAACAAAAAGTAATTGATGCCCCCCAACTGTTTATATTTATACATGGTAAGAGTTGAAACTGAACACAAAATACAATCGCAAAACATCTTAATGTCATTCCAAATTCGGCCAGCCATCCATCTCTTACATTATATAACCTGTTCAGGGTCACAAGGAGCTGTGAGTTATCCCAGCTGACATCGGGCAAAAGGCAGACTATACCCCGGACTGGTCACCAGTCAATCACAGGATCTAAAACTCTCCATTACTTCCAGTAATAACCCAGGCTAAACGTAGCTCCGTGACATGCCAAAATTACTACAGTCGAAATCGATCACACTTTTCCATTTGATAGGTCTTTGGCCTTTTCTTGTGGCATCAGAAAGAGTACAAAACCCAGTAATAGGTGCGTTTTTTAGCAAATAGTTGAGGATAGGTTCCATGGGTGCTTGTGATAGCTATTTTTTTAATGGTTTCATTTCCAGCAAAATATTCCAACCACCCATTGAGGACCAATGGTTTACAGTGGTGTTTAGTGATTACCCAGCAAATACACGTCGGAGGGTGTCATTAAAATGGTCAATATTACAGTAAACCTTTCTTTGGCTGTCAAACAGATGGGTTCATGGCTCTGTGCTTCGGTGAGAAAATTACTTGCTGATTGCTAAAAAAATGAGCGCCCAAAACTGAGTGAAAGGGCAGCAAAATCGAAAAATAGAGAGGACCGCTCTGCGCCCCTGCCGGATCTTCAGCAAACATGGACCACGCGAGCCTGGGATCTCAGAACACAAATCATCCACGGCCCCAATGTGTTTCTCTCCTCGCCACACATGCGCACACACAACAATGTGAGCCTTTTGCAGCACAATAAAAACTGTCCGAACCACATGAACATTTCACGAACCTCGAGCAATCAAAGGCCGTAAAGCTTTATAAACGCTGCTCACTATCCTGTGTCTTGCTGCGGTCTGGAGATTTGTTTTTCTCTTTCCGCAGAGCCTTTGAAAGATTGTCCACAGTGCTTTTGTGTGCGGTTGAGGGAACATGAGGAGAGCACCACTGCAGCCCATTGTTTTTGGAAGAACCTGTGGAGCCGCTCTCTACTGTGGCGGAGCTGCAGGACGTGCTGGTTCTTATTTGTTTTAACCTGGTTCTAATAGTCCAACCAATCAAGAGTTCAGGGATGAGTTGTCGTTCCTAATCAACCACACGAAGGGCTAATTCGTCAAGCTCTGTTTTTAGGCTACTTGCTCACTTGGGGGTTTGTTGTTCAAACACATTTATTGGACCATTTTTACTGGTCTTCATTCAGCAGTCACTTGAGTTTTGGACCTTTTTGTTTTATTTTTTTCTCCAACCAGGATTGTGATTGCACTTTTAGTTGTGAATAAGAAGCAGAATCAGGCAACGAGAACCCAAGTCAATCAAATACTGGAGTTTGGCCCTTGGTTCAATTTACTTCGTGCATTTGAGTCTGTTAGTGACATTTGACGAGACAGAGCCCTGAGTCAAGGTATGGAGTGGTACATTAACTTCTCAAGCTAATCTCCGACTGGTTCATTGCCACACGCTTGACACTTGTGATCTGCAAAATGCACAATTGTATTCTTTCCATCCACTTCCACAGTCCACATATTATTTTACAAGTGACCACTCAGCACTTCCTACAAATCAACAAATTAACTGTTCTACCAGGTCCCCCGGTGAAATTTCCAATTCTCTGTGGGAGAGATTTGCAGTCCAGCGGGACGCCTATTTTATAAATGCTTTGACAGGGCTTGGATGGATTTTTCTCCCGGTTTGCTTGCCACGGCATGTCTGGCAGGGCGAAGCCTCTCATTCAAGAGGAACAATTTCAATCTTTCAGGCTGTTTTAAATCCTTGTATGGTAAATCAGAAACGAGCAATAGAATTGTAATTACAAACCGTGGATGCTGTAAGATGAGCTACCAGTGGTCTGGGAGACTGGAATTATCTGATGGTGCAAACAACAAGCTGGCTGCCGTTTAGCCATGCAACCTCAGGACATAAACTGTGTTCTAGTCTGCGTTCCTCTTCCTTTTACGTAAGTAAACTGTTGCTTTTCACCTCAAACGCGTCCCATAAAAGCAGCCACTCTTACCATCCCAGCCCGCCTGGCGATGACTGAAAGTGTCCGCTTTGTACACATGCCAACAGTCTTGGAAATTACAAAGAATCCAAAGCGCACAATCGGGCCTTGTGTGCAACAGTTGTTGCAGCGTCAAAAGTACAAACAGCCTGTCAGCAGGTTTCTCACTCGCGATAATTTGGGCCAGGCAACACTTTCGCCGCATTCCACATGCAGCTCAGATGAGCTTGAGTTTGGATCTATGAATATTCAGAAGTCCAGGTTGACTAATGAAGGTGACAAGCTGGAGAGGTTCACTCGCTTTGGAGACTTTTTGACGTTGAAACACAATGTAGGTACACAATCGAATGTTGCATAAAAAAATGAAGGGTGCATTCCTATTTACATTTTTTGGTTTGGTACAGATGCTTCCTGAGTTCCCACATAGCTTCTGTGAATAGCAAAACAAAAAGTAATTGATGCCCCCCAACTGTTTATATTTATACATGGTAAGAGTTGAAACTGAACACAAAATACAATCGCAAAACATCTTAATGTCATTCCAAATTCGGCCAGCCATCCATCTCTTACATTATATAACCTGTTCAGGGTCACAAGGAGCTGTGAGTTATCCCAGCTGACATCGGGCAAAAGGCAGACTATACCCTGGACTGGTCACCAGTCAATCACAGGATCTAAAACTCTCCATTACTTCCAGTAATAACCCAGGCTAAACGTAGCTCCGTGACATGCCAAAATTACTACAGTCGAAATCGATCACACTTTTCCATTTGATAGGTCTTTGGCCTTTTCTTGTGGCATCAGAAAGAGTACAAAACCCAGTAATAGGTGCGTTTTTTAGCAAATAGTTGAGGATAGGTTCCATGGGTGCTTGTGATAGCTATTTTTTTAATGGTTTCATTTCCAGCAAAATATTCCAACCACCCATTGAGGACCAATGGTTTACAGTGGTGTTTAGTGATTACCCAGCAAATACACGTCGGAGGGTGTCATTAAAATGGTCAATATTACAGTAAACCTTTCTTTGGCTGTCAAACAGATGGGTTCATGGCTCTGTGCTTCGGTGAGAAAATTACTTGCTGATTGCTAAAAAAATGAGCGCCCAAAACTGAGTGAAAGGGCAGCAAAATCGAAAAATAGAGAGGACCGCTCTGCGCCCCTGCCGGATCTTCAGCAAACATGGACCACGCGAGCCTGGGATCTCAGAACACAAATCATCCACGGCCCCAATGTGTTTCTCTCCTCGCCACACATGCGCACACACAACAATGTGAGCCTTTTGCAGCACAATAAAAACTGTCCGAACCACATGAACATTTCACGAACCTCGAGCAATCAAAGGCCGTAAAGCTTTATAAACGCTGCTCACTATCCTGTGTCTTGCTGCGGTCTGGAGATTTGTTTTTCTCTTTCCGCAGAGCCTTTGAAAGATTGTCCACAGTGCTTTTGTGTGCGGTTGAGGGAACATGAGGAGAGCACCACTGCAGCCCATTGTTTTTGGAAGAACCTGTGGAGCCGCTCTCTACTGTGGCGGAGCTGCAGGACGTGCTGGTTCTTATTTGTTTTAACCTGGTTCTAATAGTCCAACCAATCAAGAGTTCAGGGATGAGTTGTCGTTCCTAATCAACCACACGAAGGGCTAATTCGTCAAGCTCTGTTTTTAGGCTACTTGCTCACTTGGGGGTTTGTTGTTCAAACACATTTATTGGACCATTTTTACTGGTCTTCATTCAGCAGTCACTTGAGTTTTGGACCTTTTTGTTTTATTTTTTTCTCCAACCAGGATTGTGATTGCACTTTTAGTTGTGAATAAGAAGCAGAATCAGGCAACGAGAACCCAAGTCAATCAAATACTGGAGTTTGGCCCTTGGTTCAATTTACTTCGTGCATTTGAGTCTGTTAGTGACATTTGACGAGACAGAGCCCTGAGTCAAGGTATGGAGTGGTATATTAACTTCTCAAGCTAATCTCCGACTGGTTCATTGCCACACGCTTGACACTTGTGATCTGCAAAATGCACAATTGTATTCTTTCCATCCACTTCCACAGTCCACATATTATTTTACAAGTGACCACTCAGCACTTCCTACAAATCAACAAATTAACTGTTCTACCAGGTCCCCCGGTGAAATTTCCAATTCTCTGTGGGAGAGATTTGCAGTCCAGCGGGACGCCTATTTTATAAATGCTTTGACAGGGCTTGGATGGATTTTTCTCCCGGTTTGCTTGCCACGGCATGTCTGGCAGGGCGAAGCCTCTCATTCAAGAGGAACAATTTCAATCTTTCAGGCTGTTTTAAATCCTTGTATGGTAAATCAGAAACGAGCAATAGAATTGTAATTACAAACCGTGGATGCTGTAAGATGAGCTACCAGTGGTCTGGGAGACTGGAATTATCTGATGGTGCAAACAACAAGCTGGCTGCCGTTTAGCCATGCAACCTCAGGACATAAACTGTGTTCTAGTCTGCGTTCCTCTTCCTTTTACGTAAGTAAACTGTTGCTTTTCACCTCAAACGCGTCCCATAAAAGCAGCCACTCTTACCATCCCAGCCCGCCTGGCGATGACTGTGTGGAACTGCCCGTCGGACACTTTTATCATGGTCATCAGTTTGTATGTTCCACTCCCCAAGTTGAAGGAGAAGCGCATCCGGCCCTCCAAGACCTCCAGGGCCAAGAACTCTGCCTTGTCTCCGGTCTGGTTATCGTGATTGTACATGAGCAAAGCGTTGTTCTTCAGGGTGGCAAACTTGATGTAAATGTAGTTGTTGTTGGGGTCCAGCGACGGGAACTCCATATAAGACAGATCCTCAAAGCCATAGCTGTTCAACTCGCAGTGTTTACCGAAAACCCCTGAGGACCAAAACGGAACAAATAAGAAAATGATGGATCATTTCAAGTTGTGTTATCAAAACCGAATTTTTGAGCTTTGAAAAATGGTATGAATGGAATGGGGTGGCAATTACATATGCAAGTTGCCTCCAGTCTTACTCACCAAATGGACAATGACAATAATATCCATCCACCCGGTTCTGACAGGAGCCGCCATTAAAACATGGGTTACACTCACAGTGATTGATGATGGAATCACATGTTTTGCCTGGTTTCACAAGACAACACACATTAACACGGATGCAGCGGTGAAAAATACTGGAAAACGTTGTAGGTGTACACCTTCCCCGCAGGCTAATTGCACAAAGGTTTCATTGCCTGATTCTGAGTCAAACAATCTAATTTCTGAAAACACTTTTGATACACAGTACTACCCTACATGCTCTCGTGCATTTTTTTCCTTCCCTTTAAGTCACAATTTTAGGTTTAATTTGGTTCAAAGGCATCCTGGTATATTCAAAGGAGGAAAAGTCCACATAATTGGCAAACTCGTCTCACTAAACATATCGTAAGGCCCAATGCGAGATCAAATTACTCTTGCACAAAGTGAATTTGTTGCAGTGCTGAAAGACAAACATCTAATATGAACACGAGTTGCTGAAATGAAACGTACCGGGAAAGCGCAATGAACGTCAAAACATGAGCAATGTGACATTGATAATAACAATGGGACTCAGACATGTGACATTTATAATCACTGTAACGGACAAGGCTCATGCAGGAATGGTGCATGGCAGACGGCAGACGTTGAAGTGTTGCGAGTGCGCCTGCGGCGATAAATCCTGATGAAAACTTGTTCAATGGAGAGCGACTCGGCTGCCAAAAACCAGCCGTGGAAAACAGGAAGACAAAAGTTCACGGCGCGGGCATGCAAACTACTGTAAGTCAATAGGTGCATTTCCTCGGGAGGGTCATTTATCTTGATGAAACTAAAAGACGTGCTCATTTTTTATTGTCATAATAAAAATGGACAGTAATGACCAGACTGGGGGAAAATTGCCTCGCTTTGAAAATGTCTTTCAGATGTGACGACTGGACAATGAGCCCCTATCAAAATTTGTGTCCTGAGTAACTCCAATTAAAATCAGCTCCTAGTTTTGGCCGAGCTAACAAGTCTGAGTGGTCATTAATTTCCCAACATAAAGGCCTGATTGGCTCTTGTATAAAGCTGCCAATTTGTCAAGCGCTCGGATCCGTGATTAGTAGATCATACGCTACACAGTTGGATTACAGATGGAGAATGGCGTCTGTGTGTGTGGTCAGTTCTGTGTAGGCACATGATGCAATGTGATACAGACTCAAAGCCTCCGCTCTGGAGCAGGGTCAGCTTCACGGCATCGATTTTATTAAAGCAAACAAAGCTGCCTGATATTCAGGTGATACCCCCACCCCTAACGAGCAATCTAAAAGTGGTTTTGGCAAGTATGACTGCGACACCTCAGACTTAAAAGCAAATATTTTCTTTGGAGCGTGTGCTATCAGCTGGTAAAATTGTATGGAAGTGGATCCTATGTCCCGGCTTTCTTTTTATCAGTCACAGTGACCGAGTGGTCAGAAATAAAACGTGACTGCTCTGTGCGCGCGTGTGTAGTACCTGCAAATCCGGATTTGCAGAGGCAGTTGAAGCCGCCGGGGAAGTTCTGGCACAGTGCACCATTCTTGCAAGGATTGGAATGGCATTCATTGATGTCCCTCTCACATGCCATGCCAGTGAAACCTTCAGGACAGGTGCAGGAGAAACCCCCCACCAGATTGTGGCAAGTGCCCCCATTGTGACAAGGGGAAGGCTGGCACTCATCGACGTCTGTCTCGCAGACAGCTCCAGTGTATCCCGGCCTGCAGCTGCAAGCGTAAGGCTGCAGCGGGTGGTTGGATACGAGGATCACCGGAACACTTTCCTCTGTTTTCATATCAGGCCCAACAGTGAGACGCCTCTTGCAGCTGCCCCCGTTCTGGCACGGGTTGCGTGTGCATGGATCGTGGTCCACAGCATCTATTTGCACACCACTCTGTCTATTCAAAATTTCTTTGATACTCTGGAAGAATGTGGCCACACCACTGGGGTTCACATATTGTCCATGTCCTCGTTTGATAGCTGCCATCAAGAAAGTCTGGTTGTTGAGCTCAAACACACCGTAAAGCAGGACCCCAGTGCCTAGTCCCGCTAGCTGAGAGTTGGCAATGCGTAAAAAGCTGAGGTAATGGTCGGTGAGGAAGTTTCTGACTCCATGAGACTGGAGCCTGATTAGAATGCTGTTATCTACTGTGGCATTTGTGAAGCCCATGAAAAGGACCCGCGCTGTGTTGCTGACTGGACCGTGGACACCATCACTGCTTCGGATGGTTAATTCAAAGTTTCCATCTGTTGAACGTGCTTTCGAGTTTAGCTTGCATGTTCCAGTAGGAATATTAAACAGCGCAGAGGAAGGTGGAATGAGGGAACAGTGGAACCTGTCTTGAATGTCAGGGTCTTGGGGTTTAACGTCTCCCAACGAACCTCCAGGAAATATATTTCCGAAGTAGTGAACAAAGATTTCCATTGACCTCGGCTCTGAAGGGTTGTCGTTTTGATCATTTATTTTGACATGTATGGTTCCCGTGGAGGACATTTGAGGTACACCAGAGTCCTTGATCACGATGGAGAGATAGAAGTCACTCATCTGTTCTCTGTCAATCTCCCGACTTGTGGTGAGCATTCCAGCCGGACTTAGATTGAAATAGCTGTTGGCAGAGCCAGAGCTGAGAAGACTGTATATGTAAGGTCCTTGATTGGGTGGTAAGTCTGGGTCGGAAGCTGTTAACGTAGTTACCGCAGTGCCAGATTTCTGGTTCTCCATTGCTTCAGCGTACGTGGTTGTCAGACTTGGACCATTATCATTGATATCTTCCAGGTTCACAATCAACGTGGCGCTTCCAGTAGAAGGAGGTGTGCCAGTATCCACAGCGAAAATGGTTAGATTATACACAGGCATTGTTTCTCTGTCGAGCGCGGCTGCAACAGACACTTGGCCAGTTTTGGGGTTAATGGTGAAAACCTTTTTATCAAACTGTGGTGCAATGGAGTATGAAAATCGGCTCCAGCTTGGGACAGAGTCTGTGTCCTCGGCACTCACAAACGTAACCAGACCACCAGGTGAGAGACCTTCACTAACTTGCACGTCATACAACTCTTGAGAAAAGACAGGCGGATCATTGGCATCCAGTATTGTGATGTTCACAAAAACCTCATCGATATCTGCACCGCGGATAGCACCGGCGTTTTTGGCCATCACTCTAAGTGAAATCTTTTCCTCTTTCTCGCGGTCCAGTACACCTGTGACATAAATCTGTCCAGTTCGCTTGTTGATGCCAAAGCCCTTCCTCCTGCTTTTCCCAAAAATGAGGTAGTAGACAACTCCATCGTCACCTTGGTCACGATCACTTGCAAAAACTTCCCCAACCACTGTTCCTTTTGGAGCGGCTTCAGATATTTCAAAGTAGTACTCTTTGGAGACAAAACGGGGTACGTATTCATTGGCTCCCTTTATCTGAATGTTGACATTGGCAAAGCTGCAGCGTTCCTCGTCTGGGACGTTGAATGCCTTCACTGTCAAATGATAGACCTGTTTAGCCTCATAATCTAAGAACCCCTGAGTGGTGATGGTGCCCGTGTTGGGATCAATAACAAAGAGGTCACTGTCTGATGATTGTATGACATAGGCCACGACGGCGTTAGCTCCCGAATCAAGGTCACTGGCATTCATTTTCACCACGGTGGTACCACTTGGAACGTTCTCCTGTACGATAGGGTAGTACTCGTCTGGATCAAACAGTGGAGGATTGTCATTCACATCAGTCACGTGAATCGTGACAGTGACATAGCTGGATTTTGCAATCCAACCACCATCTGTAGCTGAAACTCTCAGCTCGTGTTGTTGGTTTTCTTCGAAATCCAGAGACTGCGCTAGGGATAACACCCCTGTTTTGCTATTAAGTGTAAACAACCCTTTCGTGTTTCCTGATGTAATATTATACTTGATAAGGCCATTCATTTCTTTGTCTTTGTCTCTGGCTGACAGGGTCCTTATTGCTGTTCCCACAACAAGGCTTTCAGGCACTGTGGCTGAGATTTGGCTTTGCGAGAACTCAGGCGTGTGGTGGTTTTCCTCTGTGACGGCGATTCGCACTGCTGTTTGTGTGGACAAAGGGGGATTTCCTCTGTCGCTGGCTGCGACGTCCATGAGGAAAAGCTTGTTTATGTCAGATATGAGGGGTGATGCGACAGTGACCCACCCGCTCATTTTATCTAATTTGAATTTACTAGAGCTATTACCTCCTGTAATTAAGTACTCAACTTCAGAGTTGAGGCCAAAGTCTTTTTTGTCATGAGCTACAATTTTTAGTAGTCTGGTACCAACTTTGACACTCTTTGTGACAGGAGTAAAGTAGCCTGGTGAATCAAACTCGGGAGGATTATCGTTACTGTCAACGATATTCACAATGACTGTCGTCTCACTCATTAAGGGTTTGCGCCCACGATCTGAGGCCGTGACAATGAAACTCTGGCGATTAATGTTCAAACTGCTGGTGCCTGTCGAATTCAGATATCTCAACTGTTGCTTCACAAATATCTCTCCGGAGCTGGCGTTAATTCTGAAGTACTCCGACTGGGACCGAATAAAATAAAATATTTTGCCATTGAAACCTTCATCGGGATCAGTGGCTGACACCTGCGTTACCAAGGAGCCCACCTCAGTCAACTCAGGGTAGTCAAGGTAATAGGATGGACGACTAAATCTGGGGGCATTGTCGTTGATATCTGTTATGAATATGGTGACATCTGTGCTAACTGTCCAGCCAGAGTCGTGGGCAGACACTTTGACAATGTAGTGATCTGTGTCCTCCCTGTTAAGTGGCCTACTGATTGTTATGTCCCCTGTGTTTGGATGAATGCTAAATGGAAGGCTGGTGTCCGTGATTGAATAACGACTAATAGCGTTAGCTCCAGCATCCTCATCGGTGGTGGTGACTCTCGTGACCGTGTAACCGACGGGCGCATTCTCGGCCACAGTTGCGCTAAATATCTTTGAAAACCGGGGGGCGTTGTCATTTACATCTAGCACACTGATTTTCACTTTGACTGCTGAGTTTTTCGGCGGCAACCCTCTGTCCGTGGCTTTGACTTTCAAAAGGTACTGGGCCACCTTCTCACGGTCAAGCGGCCTGGTGGTTCGTAGCTCACCGGTGGCGCGACTGATACTGAAGCTGTTCTCCTTGTTTCCATCAATGATGGCATATTCCAGCTGCCCATTAGGTCCATTATCAAGATCGACAGCAGGGACCATTAGCACCCGTTGAGGTGACAGATTCTCCAGTATCTCGGCATGAAAGGGGTCCTTATCAAACACCGGGTGATTGTCATTGACGTCCAGCACAGTGATGTCCACTCTTTCATACGACGAATATGGTGGAAAGCCTTGATCTCTGGCCTCAATCCAGAGAACATATTTCTGAATGTGTTCATAATCCAACGGATGCCTGATGACGAGGTCGCCGGACAGCTGGTCAATGTTAAAGGCGTTGTCCAGGTTACCGCTCGCGATGTAGTAGGATAACGGCCCGCCCCTCCTGGAAGACCCTGTCACGGCTGTGATGAGGTGATTGGTCGGCTGGCTCTCAGGGAAGGTGAAGGCATGTTCCTTGAGCTTGATGATCGGAAAGTTTCCTCCGTTGACGAAGCGGACCGTCACGGTGGTCGTGTCAGTTTTGGGGTTGGCTCCGCCATCTTTAACTCGAACCGTGAGGGTAACCTCAGAGGTCCCAGTCAGCTTCTCGTTGGCAGTGATGGCACCTCGGATGGGGTCGATCTTGAATTTGTCAGAGTTGCGTCCCATCAGAGAGTAGTGCAACTGGGCGTTGGATCCAGAGTCTTCGTCGGTGACAGTAACAGCAAAGACCAATGACCCTGGACACACAGAGCGAGTGCTCATTACAAAAAAGGAAACGACGCATTCACTTCAATTTTGCAAATGTATTACATTTGTGGTTCGTATGAATTGGTTCCAAATTGCAATCCCAGAGTCTTTCCACTTGAAACGTTTGAATGGCAAATTATTAGTAACATTGGAGGATTACTATTACGTCATTCATCCCTGTCGCATCGACACTTTGCTATCATTTTGCGCTCCCTGTACTCTATCACTTGCACACTTCTGTGGCTGAACAGTGGTACTACACTTTGTAATGTTTACTGACTCGATGTACTTTTTTGTCTCCATATATCAATCTATTCTCTACCCTGCTTATCTTGTTCAGGGAGCAGGCAGGTAGAAATGATTATTTTATCATTATAAAAAGTACAAAGCTACATACGATACTTATTCTACAAATATATTGCTAATGCTTTATTTTATATTGCACTTATATTGAACTGTGTACAGATCTTTTCTGAAACATTTATTTGTGCAATGTAACACTATTTTTTTTTTCCCCCCAGCCCCCAATTTTGCTGCTGTAGACTGCAAATTTCCCCAGTGTGGGACAAATAAAGGTTATCTTATCTTATCTTATCTTATCTTATCTTATCTTATCTTATCTTATCTTATCTTATCTTATTACTCGCCGTACCTTAGCTTTTGGCCAATTTTTTGACACTTTTATGACAAAATATATTTTTTTGCTGCAGAAATATGGACATTTCTGAATCCTAGGCCATTCTTGGATAACTACTGCATGATAGTTGTATGTGTTTAATTGGTATTAGGATAATGAGTGGATCCTTGCAAAGCTTGACCCAAGTCAAAGCATTCTAAATGTTTACCTGCCGCTGTGGATGCAGGGATGTGGGTGACGTAAGGGTGGTGGTGGAAGCGTGGCGGGTTGTCGTTGATGTCCGCCACCGTCACAGACACGGTGGCCGAGCTGGACAGGCCCTGCGGCTGCCCTCCATCTGTCGCCACCACGAGCAGCTGGTAATTGGCTCGCTCCTCTCGGTCCAGCAGGGAACTGGTGATAATCTGTCCGGTCGCCGGGTTGATGGAGAACTGTCCATGGCCTCCAGTCAAACTGTAGCTGTTTGGAGAATGCGGAAAAAGGGAGAAATTTGAGGATGTATCACATACTGGCGTTTGTGTCATTTTGTGCTGTGTTTCAGTCGCATGCCATTTAAAATGAAGGCTTTTCAATTAAACAGACCAAGCTGTGAGTTCCACAAAGTGTTTTTGCTTATAGAAATACGGTATATCGATAGTGTACTTTTTTTCTAACTTGATTTCAATGGCCCATCCAACTATCGTCGCATCGAAATTGGTTTCTGGTTAGTTTGACTCGATAAATACATACATTCATGAACTCATTAAAAAATTATTAATTAAAACAGATACATAAATTAGAACAGCAAAATGAATTACAAATGAATTTAATTGATTGAATAAATACATTCAAACAATTGAGTAAACATACCTAAATGAATTAGAAATATATAAACTCATTGATCGAAGTAAAAATCATTAGAATAATTACATTAAAACCTATTAAATAAAAAATACATCCCGGGAATAAGAATACATTCTTAAAATTAAATGAAAACATAGTTAAGTAAAATACAAGATGAATGATATCTTCCCAAATATATTACCTTTTTAAACAAACACACACACAACAACGACAAAAAAAAAATCATTGTTTGCATTGATTTCAAATTTTCAATGTAAAAGGGCAAACATTTTTTTTTTTTGCTCCGTTATATTCATGGGACCTGCGCCTGTCTTCCAGTATATTAAATGTACAAAATCTGTTTCACACTGTAAGGTGTGTGCGCAACAGTGTGTACATCACTTATGAGTCAAGTTTGAGCTTGCCAAAGTCTGGACGAGAGAGGGCACCATTTCAAACTATATTAACATAGATAATTACATTCCAATTGTTATAGTGCAGCATCACTAGATTTTGCTTTGCCACTCCCAGCATCTAACTGCAGCAAAAGAAAATCCCGTATCTATTCAGTATTCACTCATGACCTTTCACATGTTACCATGTAAACACACAAACCTCTAAAACATGAAGTGTCACTGAAGAGCACACTGAAGAAGCACCTGCAGATGCATCTTCTTTTTATAACTCATCAGCAAGTTGGTGAGGCTGCAGATTGTTTAGTCTCAAACCCAGAATGGACCCAGACACAAATAAACTGTTCTAAACAATAAAGGGAACACTTTGGAGTTAAATTGTGTTGTTTAAGTGCTCCCTTTATTTTTTTGAGCAGTATATAAACCGGCACATCAATGTACATGACGTCTCGTACTCTTGAAATGTTTCTTGAGAAAGCAACCCCCGCCCTGTTGCGCAAAAACTTTCCAGCAAAGTATGAAGGCAACATGGCAGCTAAGAGGACCTTTTAAAGTCCCAAACCCCTAACGCCATCTTAATGGACTGTGAGAATCCCAACTAATAACTGACGGTAGCTGGCTGTGGTCTGCATTAAAGGCCCCTGCAACCCCCCGATGGGTACACCTCGTACTGTCATAGACAATTAACATCCTCATTACAAATGTTTTGGGAAACAGGAGCACACTGCGGTACCCCCCAGCGTGTACCCAATAGGGTTTGCCGAGAGAAAGGAGGACTTGAGTCAACGTCCGGCTTGATGGGCTGAGGGGTTGGTGTGGGCAAAAACCGAGAATCAAAAACTTTAACAAGGAATTTGGGGTGACCGAAACTCCGCGGTGGAGTTTTAGACGGATGAAACATTGGTTTGGAGGGGCAACCACTAGGAAAGCTGGAAAGGCACCATGTCGCTCAAACTGTTTACATTTCCGCCTCACAGTTCGGGATTAGAATCTCAGCTCGGCTTTGCATGTTCTCCTTGGCCTTTAGATTGGCTGGCAACAAGTCCAGGGTACTGGATAAACCTGATGATCTCTCACAGCACATTAATGTAGTTGGCAATCCATGGTTTCGAACAAGTACCTGATGACACCATTGAGGCCTATGTCTGCGTCGGAACTGTTCACCAGTAGCACGTCGGTCCCAGTGGGGGCGTCCTCTGTGATGGTGGTGTGGAAGGCGGATGAGGAGAAAAGCGGCACGTTGTCATTGACGTCGTCCACCAGAACCGTCACCGTCCCTGTTCCGCTCAATGAAGGAGAACCTGAGGATGCAGGAAGAGAAAGCCATGAGTTTGGGATTTGCGTCCCAAACTTGAAATCAGAACGTTCAGATGGCTTTTAACGGGGTCTCTTATGTGAAGGTGCGTGGCCTGGAGTTAGTGATCTGTGGAATTTGAGTCGGGCGAAATTACTTTTTTAGATGGGAACGAAAAAAAAACTGAGGGTGACAAAAGCTGTGCCCGTCTGGGTTCTGAGAGGATGGATTTTAAATGAAAAGCAGCTGAAAATCAATGCAAAATGCAGGAACAACTGTGGGGGAGGGGGGGGATCAGACGTCTGCATTGCTTGAACTTTATAACCCTTCCTGAAATGGAACACTCAGTAGATCTATTTCAACAGCTTTGAAAGGAACAACAGTTGGATGCAATAACAAGACATGTGGTAAGGTATCATGTAAAAACAAAGATGCATACTAAAAAAAAAAAAAAAAAAAAAGAAAAAAGGGGCAGGGTGGGAGGATCTGGATAAATACACTACTCCATAACTGAAATGAAAAGTGGAGGACTGCATTCTGCTGACACAACACTTGGAATGGTGCCACGTTGCATTCTATTTTATAGTACTCATTTGTGAAATAATTTAGGAATGTATTGTACCACATCTCAAAGAAACAAGACGAGATCATCCAGTATCATTATGAGCTTTAAAGGTAACTCTTTCTACATTCAACCCTCTGACTTATGACAAACTCTTCAAATAATAAAACAGACACTTTCAATTTTTGTGTGGTTTCACGATTTTGAACAGAAACGGACAATCTCAGACTGAATTCACTTTTAATAATCTGACCACCTGTCATAAAATCAAGTAGAGACCACTAAGAATCATGACGTGCTTAAATGCAGACGCTTTCAATTTCAGAACCATCTTGCCCTTTGACCTTTTTGAAAATGAAGAGCAATTTGATGCAAAATCCAATTCCAAACATATGACATATCTAAAAATAAGAAAAACTACTGAGCTTCATAAAGTGCTTTCATGCTCTTTCCTTTTTTTCTTTTTTTTTTAGACTCCTTCCTTTCATTTCACCATTTACAACACTAAATTCAACTCACACGGCCGAGTGTTCGAGTGGTTACCGAGTGGACCTCACAGTGCAGAGGTACCAGGTTCAATTCCAGCTCCGGCCTCCCTGCGTGGAGTTTGCATGTTCTCCCCGTGCCTGCATGGGTTTTCTCCGGGTACTCCGGTTTCCTCCCACATTCCAAAAACATGGTGAATGGAGCACTCAAAATTGTTCCGAGGTGTGAGTGTGAGCGCGGATGGTTGTTCGCCTCTGTGGGCCCTGTGATTGGCTGGCAACCGGTTCAGGGTGTCAGGGTGTCTACTGCCGGAAGACAGCCGGAATAGGCTTCAGCACGCCCCGCGACCCTTGTCTGGATCAAGCGGATCCGAAAATGGATGGATGAATTCAAATCACCTCTTTATAGCCACATTTGAGCAAGCCCAATGGGCTTTTTCTCCCCCCACAAAATTATCAAGCAACATTCAACTACGAAATCTCCATTATCCGTTCAGGAACGCAACAAATTTTTGCCGGTAGATTTATCAAGCATTGTATTGAGGCTATGAATGTGTCATGTTTTTCAGTCCTAAAGACTCGCGGAGCGTGAATCTTATTGGGGTTTATTTAGCAAGGAGATTCGCTGATAAAATAAAAAATCCATCCATCCATTTTCTCATCGGCTTATCCTCGCAAGGCCATTACATTCATTCATTCATTTCCTCTATTTGTTTACATTGTGTGCCTATTTGTCCTGAAGAATTCTCACACTGGATTTTCCTGAGATCATCAACAACTAACTGATTAATTTTGACCCAACCTCGCTCCCGCTTAAGTGATTTTCTCGAATAGAGCTGGTAAAACAGACCTGAACTATTCATTTTGGACAGACTGTATTTCTTCAAACAAAGGCCTCGCTCAAAGAAATAACGGATATAATTGCAATTCATAGGTCGTTCCGTATCGTTTATGCATGACATTAAATAGCCAGCCCACATGAAGTACTCAACATTATATTTCTCACATGAAATATAATGTAAATAATTTGCATTAAAAATGACCTTCGTAGACGATGCTTCGTACACTGACGTGGTCGCTCCACACAGTCTGCCTCGTTTCTCGACATTTCTGCATAAGACTCATTTTGATTTCATTTTCACATGACAAATAGTTCGTACCGGTAGCAGTTTGCGAATTGAGTTACTGCCCCCAGGCACTATTTGCGGCAAAAAGGTAAATTAGAATTTCAATTGTTCAGTAGAACACAATTACTCGACTACTGGCAAAGGAATACCAGATAGATGGATCGTAAAAACCAACCAAACGATCTAAATAGAACCAAACAAAGACAAAACGAAGGTGATTAAGTTGCGGATGCGGGAGTCTAAAAGCCAATTAAACTCATCAAATGCAACATGATTGGGCCATACTGGGTTTTGCTTTACTTAAACCCTCACTGCACCGCTAGGCTTGATTTAATAAACAGATATTCATCCTTAAATCTACCTGGCTTTTCTGCTCAGAACATGAGTGGTAATTACAGAGCCGAGTCCCAGAGGGGAATATACGAGGTAACCGTAAACATTTTGATCCGCTTCCCCAAAAAGGCCGTGAAACCATAGAAGACATCTTTTATTGACTCGTTGCCAAAAAAATGAGTCACGTCCCTTGCAGTTCCAATTCAGGATCTCCGTTTCCTACTAAATATGGACAATGTTGACTTTTAGGTGATGGCTTGTTGCCACCCTTACAAATATTTAGAAGAATAAGGAAAGACGTGTAATTCCAAAATGATTGCAGATTTAAACATGGAAGTCTGCTGACAAATGTGCTGCAAAAAATATTTGGCCAGGTCGTGACATTATTATATTCCCGCACATTAGCCCAAACAGTCAATCCACCCGTCTTGTGTCTTTCAAGTTTTTATGTGGTCGTCCTGGCAACCGATTAGAGCTGATCCTCTTTAATTGATCCCAGTGTCACTTTAGCGCTGCTACTGGCAGCCAAAGTGTGTTTAGCAGTCAGGCTGTTGTTGATCAAAGATGAGCTGCTTAGTGCTCACAAGGGCTCAGCCGCGAGCTAGACAACAGCAACCTCTATCTACCAAAAGGCTCAGGGAGCAGAGGAATGACGATTTTTGGAAAAGATGAGATCACGGTGGGAAAAGTACTCCGAACAGATTGCTTGGTACAAAAAGTCAAAAGTTACGAGGTTGGTCCATTATTTGCTTTGTGTTGCAAGACAAAATTTGAGTCCTGAGTGAGTTTCAGATCCTGCCCCTCGAGTGAAGTGAAAAAACAAAATGGAGCAATGAAGGCATTGTACATACTTGGCCAATAAAGATAATTCTGATTCTGATTATGATGTGGGTGAGTTTATTTATTCAAAGGGACAAAGTCAAATATAAAATGAGAGCACTCGCAGGGAGCTCCTGTAGGCCACAACTCACACCTCGACGCTCACAGACAAACGGGCCAACTCCAGCTCCTGATGTCACTCACATGGCCACGCCCCTTAAATGCATATTTCCAACTCAAAAAGTATGCACAGGAATTCTACGACATGAATGCAGTTTACTTGTTTGCATTCACTTTCATTATATTTTTATTTAAAATAACACATACAGTCAATACTAGGGGTGTACATATAAATCTCCAGTATGAACAAAAGCTGAAGGGCACCGACATATTTGTTGTTTATTATGTAAGCCTTTGGGGAACATAAAATGTCATTAAATATTTAACATTTAACATCCCAACCACGAAACGTAAGGATGGAAGCCGAGTGGTTTGTTTTATGACATAAGAGACAATATAGAATATAGACTGGAATTAAGTAAAATAGCAAAGTAATCTCATCCCCATCATTCTTGATATGTCGGCTTTTGATTGATAAAGCCCACATATTTCGAGAGTTGAAGCTATGAATGGGACCGTGTATTAAAGTCTTTTGATTATTCGAGGTTCATTCTTTCAAAACCCCACTATAAATTTCACAAATATGCAAATGTGTTGCATTACATCAACAGATTTTTTTTTTTTTTATTTAATTGTCGGTGAAGTAATCTTTAACTATCACACATCGGGCTCGCTTCCCAGACAGGAGGATGCCACATGTCACTTCCATCTTTCAGCTAAGGATACTTGAAGGAGACAAGTTTAGGGAACGGAGTACCTCACAATCATGATTAGAGCGTGTGTAAAAATGAGATGCACGTACTTTGTCACTTGAGCGAATACTCACATTCTTCTGTGGTGACCTTTTATTTGCACCTCTGCTGAAGTAATTGGAGGTAAGCTTGCAAAGTATGGTCTCTCTGAGGCACCGTAGTGCTAGTACTTTAAAATGCACGTGCTTCGAGCTGAGTTCGTCGCATTCCAACATTGGATGGCACTAAATTCGGCAAAATGTACCTTGAAGTGCTTTTTCCAGTTGGACTGTAAAATATCCAACTGCATTTGAATGCACCTCGCGACTCGCCGAAAGCGTTAATGTTTAAGCTATCCATACATCCAATCGTTTAATGCAGGTTAATAGTTCGAAAACCACCCAGCCATGTATATATTGTGTTTTTCAATGATCGTACCTAACAATATTTATGATTCCACCGGTCCCACTGTCAATAGACACGTGCGCAGTCTCCGTTGCCAAAACGGGAGGTGTGTCACTTGAGCCTCAGTGACTGGGGGCAAATTGAATGGAAAGCTGTCCTTTCTAGAAAAAAAAATGTTCTAGTTACGCTAGATTGCCGTCAACGTGGCAAAGGAAACATCCAGACTTTGCTATGTATCTATTTATTTAATTCATACAGGATAGATTTGACCTGACACGCGTTCTCCCCTTCTGTGTGCAATCTGACAGGCGGACGGAGAGTGCGGGCGCTTCGCTGTATGTCCCGGTCGGAGCATGAAAACAGTCGGATGACATTTTTAAGAGCACGCGTTGAAAAAACGTTTGTGAGGATAATGGTCTCACTAT